GCTTTCTTGTTTGACTGAATAATAAAAACACGAGCTATTCATAGCTATACTGCAATGTTTTATTTGTTTCTCTGCTCCACACCTGGTGCAGTGAATTACCTCTTCAAGTTCTGCAGAAGCTTAATAACCCATTCATTTACAAATTGAGTGTTGAAGCAAAAGAAGTGTTGAAAACATGMAGGACAGTTGCCCTCAAGAACCATAATTAAACACTCCTGTTCTAAACTTTTACATTATGTCAACGTTGCACGCATTGTTATTTATATGGACCTTTGTAGTAATTTGCAAACAAGCTAGCCATAGGATTCAGGCAAAATACTTGAAAGAAATACACTGAAATTTTAGAGACTGGAGTTGTTTTGAGATAGAGACAAATCATTACTATTTAAATTATTTGTTTAATCTCAGCACTTCAGACTAGCCTTTAGCTCAATAATCTGGTCAACATGAAAGTAATTCCTCAAATAGAGGCGGTTTACAACAGGTAAGATATTAATTGTTCATAAGCTTGTCACAGAACTTATCTCTTTAATGAACACAAAGTTAAGGTAATGTTTTTACAATACTTAACAGCATAATATATCTGCTGAAAAGTGATTTTCACCCCTTTAATTACTAAGTCTTTCAGACTTGGACAATCAATCTTACTACTTAGACTTTTAATTGGAAAAAAATAATTTGTTAGGAATGTGAGGTCAAAAGAAAAGAAAGTAAAGTCAATAACATACAAACAGACCATAGCAAATTCTTAATATTCCAACAGATAAGCAGAAATCGGCACATACCTTGGCTGAAAGCTATCATCCCTGACGATGCACTGCTTCTTTTCCGGCACATGTTTCCACACAGCCGGGTCGGCCAGGTCCACGAGGGCTTTGGCGTTGAGAAGTCCGAAGCCAAAACGGCTGTTGACCATCAGCCCGGCGCCGTTCCTCTTCCAGCCTGGGTTGTTGGCCAAAGGATCAAACTCTGAGGTCCAGACCACAATGTGCTGCAGGTCCCTCCAGGTGAGCTCAGGACTGAGGTGATAAAACCAGGACAGCAAGATTAGTATTTCACTAAATAGTCCTTTACTTTGAACTGCACTGCAACAGCTGTTGTTTCATACTTTTGTTCCAGTGCCAGGGCAAATATTCCTGCAGCCAGCGGAGCAGAAGCTGAGGTTCCAGTGTGAGTCTGAGTGCACTCGTTGTGGAGATCAGCACTCGTCTGAAAGCATCAAAAACAACAAAAACATCAGAATAACGACACATTAATAAATATTCTCCCAGATAACACGAGCGGGACAACTTACGATCCTCTGGTCAGTGTAGTCTCCGCTGCTGTAGGCCGTAGCCAGAGTGGAGGAGCACTTCTCAGCGTACCAYGGGGACAGGCCCTGCTGAGAGGCACTGCTGATGGAGATGGTGAAGATGCTGTCCGTGTAGCCGTCACAGTCGCAGTTATCGCCCTGACGGCCTCCGTTACCCGAGGCCCACACAAAGATGGAGCCTTTCCCTCCACGACCCTGCAGAAACGGATGTGTTGCATCAGACGCTTGGACTTCAGAACTTATTTATAATGTACAAAACTGGAACGCAGATTAAAAATGTGGTTCAGTACACGTCAACAAAGGCAGATGACTACTGCTTATGACATCATTAGAGGCTTCATTTTGATGTTTATTGCATCGTTTGTGTTGATCCTGTTCCATCTGATTCCGAACACTGCTGAGGGTAACTTCCCATCAGTGAGAAAAACAAACAAACAAACAAACAAACAAAAAACAACAACAGCTTGTTGTATAATCTACCTTCTGAATGCCGTATTCAAAAGCCTTCTGGGCCAGACGACCAGGACCCTCCACCGTCTTGCCGTCATCGTTGGGCCCCCAGCTGGCACTGTAGATATCCACGTGGTTTGGATTGAACCCGATGGAGCTCGCCTCGATGGCGTCTGTCACAATTCCATCCAGCATACGAATGCCTGAAGAGAGAGGGCCACAACTGTATCAGTGTTTGTTTGTTTGTTTTTTTTACATTTTTATGCTCAAACTCAAAGACAACTTTAAAATCGAAGGAGTCAYTGGGGCGTGAAGGAACAAGTTTTGGTTGTTAGAGGACATTTGCAGTTTTTCTGAAATCATTCTTAAACAGATTGAAGTTGAATAATTTACTTTTGGTGTCAAATTCAAGCCTGTTTTTGGCAAATCTTACAGTAAAACTGAACATATATAGAGTCTGTAATAATAGTGTTTCTGGGCTTTTGTCTTTGCCTCCTATCRTGAAATCTGGGCAATCATGTAACTGCCTGTGTGCGTGTTTGTTAACAAAATATCTTTTGAACCATTGCACAGACTTTAATGAAACATGCAATGTAATGGCGAGATGTTTATTTATAACTGAGGAAYTTTTGGTTTCAGGCTGATTCAAAATGACTGGCACAGCTGATTTACCTCAGCAGGCAGAACGATAGCTAAAACACAGTCATTTTTACAGATATTGTGCTAACATTTGGTGTGGTGGTGGCTGAGAGTCATTCTCATTACATGTTTTGAGCACCATGATCAAACAAGATGTTTGTGTAAAACTTTTACATGAAAGACAGCGGGCAAAATTTCATTAATGAATACTTTTATTTGTTAAATATGTTGTTACTGCAGAAAATAGCAGTTTATCATCAGCATAAATTCCATTTGACCCATCAGCTCTTTGTATTTGTTGTAAAATTATTATGATTTTACAAATAAATAAAAAAGCAAATGCAACAATTTCTATACCGTATTGATTTAGGCATCATGGTTGAGTTACAGATGATACATAATGGAGGGCAAATTGGAGGAGTAAATATGGAAATTTAAAAACTAGCAAGAAAGCAAAAAAAGAACAAACAAAAAAAAAAACTGAAGGGTGATTTAATGCTGAAGGTGATCACTAAAGGGATRCAGCTATGTTTACTGTGAAGAAACAACACAATACTGGATTGGAAAAAGATGATGTAAAATGGTAATAAAACAACTCAATCCAAAATGAAGGAACAGATTCCACACCATGCAGAGCGATGGACACCACGGGTGGGGATGAAATAAACGTATGGCACATTTATATAAGAAGCACTGAAACAAAGATCTTACCTCCAACCTTTGAGTTGTAYGCCACTCCAACCCCACATTTATCGTTGTCTGCTTGCATCGCAATCTCCCCTGCGCACCTGGTGCCRTGCCTGGAAAACAGGAGCAAGCTCTAAAACGTGTTGAGGGGCCGCAGGGTTTTGTTTTGAACAACACATCCAGTTTTTATTGTTTAAAACCAAAGAAAAGAGGTGTAAGACCAGAAGGCAACATTTTAAAACCCCTAAATAGGTGCGGTTTACTTAAGGTGAATAGTTAACTTACTTGTTTTCATTAGTGGAGTCRTATCTGGGGAAAGGGTCGGGGTCGTTGTCGTTGAAATCGTAACTGGCTGCAGCATCCTACAGGAAGAAGAATGAAAACAATCAGTTGGCACAGAGGACACTAGTGACAAAACCCTCAAAGGCAGTATGCATTTTCCAGGCTCGTAATCCAGATCTACACTTTTCTATTATATCATGGCCTTGAAATTGGCCTCTGCCTCTTTAAGAACTTCCTACAGTTTCTGACACTCCCACTTCAGCACATCTTCACAACAATGCTGCTCTGTGGGGCGGCAGCCTGGCTGCAGACAGAGCTCCAGGGAGGAGCTTTGTACAAATAGACGGTGCTTTGTACCAGCAAGTGTTTAGGCAGCTCCACATRACTACAGGAGATTGAAGGATTTCTCAGACATGCATGAATGAATCAAAGCAACACTCTGGCGGTGTTGGATAAAGTACCACAAAGTGATACTTGAGTAAAAGTACAAGTATCTTACCATAAAATTACTTTGGTAAAAGTTAAAGTCTCCTTTAGGAATATTACTTGAGTAAAAGTCTTGAAGTATCTGATATTTTTGTACTTAAGTATTAAAAGTAAAAGTATTGATTTAAAATGAGCATTTAGATTTTACATAATATTTATTAGGAGGTGACCTCCCTATATTGTATTAAAATAATTAATTTATGTTAAATTTAGGACAACGGTAACAAASTATTTGTACTTAGTTACTTTACAACTCTGCACTCTATTTATGTGTTTGAGGAGGGAATGACATTGTARCATGATATAAAGCTCGAAACAGTTGTGTTTGCATGATACACCCMCTTTAACTAAAGCAGGGCCATGGTTGAGGAGCTCAGAGGTTGAAGGAGCACCAGTGGCAGTTTTTACTGGAGGACTGGGTCAYAGCTGAACATTTTTTAGTGTTCATGTGGCCTGATCGGCATCTCATCTTCCTGTTGACATGAAACTATAAAAGAGGTGTTCTGTCTCTCAGCTACACTTCCAAATTTAACAACCAATTAAATCAGGCGCCTCAGTTGTTATTATCTGTTATGTAAATCTGCGCCGATGATTTGCCCTGATTGTTAAACTTGAGCGTCCTCGCTGATTGAGCCCAAGATTAATGAGCATTAACATAATTACATTAGCAGTGTGTTGTCGTACATTATCTTTTTCCTCCATGTTTTTTTTTCCTGTCCTCCTTTGCTCTGGTGGGGAYGTGAAGCTATTCAAACAGCAGTGTTTGTAACTCCGCCGCAGATGGGCCTGTCAGAGTGTCCATAAACAAGAGAAACTCTGCCAACGCGAAAACCTCACCGAGCTCTTACTCCAACACGACAGCAATTATCCGCTTCCCTCTTTTTTCTGTATTTAAACACGGCTGAAGGGAACGGTAAACACATATAAAAATCATCTCCCACTAATGCAGAGAGGCCGAGTCATTCCCACCAAAAACATTTTGTGTCCAGTAATTAAAACACCACAAAGCCCCTCAGAGACAGGCATCGCCCTCATCATCATCCTACAGAGGAGTCATCGCTGCCTGTGTGAAGAGCTTCGTAAGGTGTCGCCAGCGGCGTCACTATGGCAACAGCAGACCCCGGCGCGAGGGGAGGCGGTCTCCATGGAAACGGTGTCTTACGTAGTTGGAGAAGATGTCCGTGTGGTTCCACTCCAGCCCGTCGTCCAGGACGGTGATGACCACTCCTTTCCCCGTGATGCCCTTCTGCCACACGGGGATCACGTGCAGGTCCAGCTTTGGCAGGGAGGACGACGTGCGCGTGTCTTGCTGGAAGACAGAGACGGACAGAAAGTAAATAAATAAATAAATAAATAAATAAATAAATAAATAAATAAATAAATAAAT